CGATTGTGTGTCCTTGGCGTTGTTGAGCAGAGTTCTGTTCATCCATTCTGAACAACGCGATTTCGTAGTCACGCTTCATCTGCTGATTGACGTTGTTGATATGTTGCGTGGCCAGGCAAGCTGTCTCGCATTGCCGTTCCAACTCTTCGATGAGAATCTCCGATCCCTCATCTTCTTGCTTCATCTCATTGATCTTGTCCACCAAGGCCTGCACAACGATCTCGTACTTTTGCACCTCACTCCGATAAAACAAGTGTTGCGCGATGCTTGAAGCTTCGAGCTGTTGCTGCATGGTCATTGCCTGTTGTGAACTTGGATCATCGGCAATGGCACGGGTCGCAGCTGATGATGCATCACCATGGACCGGTATGATTTCCAAGGTCATGTCCTCATCATCAGGATCGTGAGGATGATTTGTAACCATCTTCTTCCACGTCATTGACCTCTCTCTTACCCTTGCTGTCGATGTCCTCCTCGATCTCGAGGGTGAGCCCTTTCGAAGACGCTGGTTTCGACACTCTCTCCGTTGTCTTAACTCCTTTGTCCTTCACCCTTGACGGCGTTCTCATCACCTGCAAACCAGATGATTCAGGACGTCGTTCAACTGCCCTTGTTGTCCTTGATCCTGCGGATGTTGGACGAGAAAGCGTAGATGCTCTTGATGTAGTTCTGGCTTTCAATAGTTGAGGAATGCCCTTTGTCATCCTCAGTGGAGCTGTCAACGGACTGCACCACGGTGTCGTCAGCAGTTGAGTCTCCAACGGCTGGCGCTGCCATTTCGGCACCGAAAGTCATTGTCGTATCTTGACTTGACCTAGAGTTCATCGTGGTCGTAGTAGAACAAGTAGTTTTTGCTGTTGGTAGGCAGAGCCTACGGCTGATAACCTGCGTGGGGATTTGATCTTGATGTTGCCCTTGTTCGCTCACCCCACCGAGCTAATGAATGTGTGGTTGCCTCAACAGCCTCGATAATCTTTCACTCCCACTTCCACGCTTCAGACCCTAATCCCTTGCAGGCAGACTCGGTACTCGCTGGTTTTCTCGTTCGAGAGGCGCGACGCGTCGTCTATGCACGGGATGGCTCTGTTCCTCTTAAGGTCAAAGAAGGCTACAAGCTATAGTAAGCTAGTGGCATCAGTTTCTTGAGCCAAAGTTGCATTGGCGGGATAAAGAACAAAGTGCTGCTCTGTGGTACGCGAAGCGTGCCCACAGGCGAACACTTAGAAACAAGGTACGCGGAGCGTCCCCTTGCTCTTGGCTGTACATAGCAGAACTCGTAGCTCTTATAGCGACACCACAGAATCGGACTAGGTATCGAGGTCCGTCGTTCGCATATACATATACACATATACATATATATATATATGTATGTAAATATGTGTATATATATGTATATATATGTATGTGTATATGTACGTATACTCTGGTGGTGTTAACAGTAATGCTATCACCAATGCTAATACGGACATTGATAACCTGCTGAATATTCAAGACAATGCCAGTCTTATTACCAGCATGGACACCTACTTAGTCGCTGAGTTCATAAGCCCACCAAAAGTGTACACTTTCAGCTTTGTTGTGGGTAATACTATCCCCAAAAGTGTAACGTCTATCCAGTCAGCTACTGAGCTTATATTAAGGCAAATACGACTATGAACAGTCCGAATACAAATATTGACATTATACTCCTACGAATACCAATAACATGTTCATATTGATATGAATACTAATTCCAGTACTCATGGACACCTGCATATACTATTTATTGTACGCAAAAATACATACGAGTACCACTATCTTGAAATACAGATGTATATACTAGTGCATTCGTGTTCTAATCTTTAGGATATTCATATACCCATATACCAATGTAACAATATACTACTTGTTCATGTATAGTAAACTGCTATGCCAATATACTAATATACGACTCCTGCAATATGCAAGTACACCGACATGACAAATTAGTATTCTAATATGCCAACATACTGATATATGATATACTTATACATGATGAGACACTACATGAATATAGTACACATACTAGTATACTAATATACTGTTAATGTACTAGTGTACTCATGCACAAGTTGCACTAGCATATCAGATATACTAATATACAAGTATACAAATTTGTTACTGCTCGAATACATTACTGTATTGATATACTAATCTGCTAATATACGAAACAGGCAAATATTGATACTAATACTAGCGCTTCTGCGAATATTCGCTGATATTAAACCCAGCATTAAGACTGATACTGATACTAGCAGTGGTTCTTACTATTACTGACATTGACACTGGCACTAACACTAACACCAACCCTAACACGAACAACTAACACTAATTTATATGTTAATATACTAATATTGATATGTAAACTTACTTACAGTAAACACTAATACTAATTCTCGTACTCATCCTGATATCAATCCTACCACAAAACCATTGCGTAACTCATGTGCCGCGCGTCTGGTGCATGCATCCTCAGTACATGGCATGTCAAAGTATACGTTGTATATCTACTGCAAAAATTCTACTTTACAGATGTTCGTCGGGTGTGATGCGTTTAGAGTTTAGACATTTACGTGTGTGTACAAGTAAATATATATATATATATATTGTATATTTATATATATATATATATATATATATACGTATGAAACATACACATATATATATATGGTCACCCCCCCCCCCATGACAGACCATGCCCTTTCGACTCAGTCGTAGTGCATGGTCTGTGATCGGGGGGAGGGGGCACTCAGCTTTCAAAGCCTCAATTCCAAAATTTCCAAAATTTCCAAAATTCTCTCCCCTAACTTTCCGGATTTCCAAAATTTCCAAAATTTCCAAAATTTCCAAAATTTCCAAAAAGTCCGCCCTTATGTTTTGGAAAAATCCTGTCGACTAGGTCGGGAAATTTTGGAAATTTTGGAAATTTTGGAAATTTTGGAAATTTTGGAAATTTTGGAAATTTTGGAAATTTTGGAAATTTTGGAAATTTTGGAAATTTTGGAAATTTTGGAAATTTTGGAAATTTTGGAAATTTTGGAAATGCGGAAAGTTAGGGGAGAGAATTTTGGAAATTTTGGAAATTTTGGAAATGCTGGAATCTGTTCTATATATGACTCAAGTAAGATTACTGTGTAGTGCTTACTATGTAGTGTACAGCACAACCCTCATCCATACACGTGTGCTCTGTAATTCCTTTCTTGGTAGGACACCCGCGCGCCTTGTCGTGCTAGTCTCCGCATCGGACCAGATTACTTGCAAAGGCAAGGGCTGTCAATACTCATGCCCATATTTACACGAATATCTCTCTATCTATCTGTATATCTATATATACATATATGTATTGATACTCCTACATATAGTATTGCCATTGAACATACTGACATTGATCATTTGTTGAATGCTCAAGCTAATACCAGCATTACTACTAATATTACACTTCTATAAAGCTTAGTACGAATATGCATAACACAAATACTAAGATTGATTAGTATTGCTCTTAGTACTCCTACGCATATCAATAACCATATTCATATTGATAATAATGTATAATAATACCAATACTAACACACACCTGTATGTACTAATGTACATAAACATGCATACCACCATATTAAAATACAAATCCTTTAACTCACTCATGAATTCAACTGTTAGAATTTCACGTGGTCAAGAGTAATAACAATACAAACATTCTTTCGAATGTATATCATCAATAATATGATAGTACTAACGCTAACACTACTGCTAATACTTAACACAAAATCTATACTAACATCAATATTTACATAGCTATTTATACTCCTACGAATACGAATACGTAAACCCTTGTGCGTTAACAGTAGTGCTATCACCAACACTAATACGGACTTTGATAATCTGCTGCATATTCAAGAATGCCACTAGTATTACCAGCATGAACACTCATATTATGGCTATTACGAGTATAAATAGTCCTACTTCTACTAGTATTGACATTAATACTCCTACGAATACCAATAGTATATTCATATTGATATGAAAACTAATACCATTACTAATAGACACCTGCATATACTCATGTACATAAAATACGTACCACTATCTTAAGATACAGATATATACATCAGTGCATTCATGTATTAATGCTTTGGCATAGGCATATACCCATATACCAATGTATCAATATACTTCTCGTTGTTGTATGAATATACTATACGAATATGTGACTATAATCATATACGGCTACTGCACTATGCAAGAATACCGACATGACAAGTTCGTATACTAATATGCCAACATACTGATATACTTATACATGATTAGATAAAACAGTAATATAGTACACATATTCGTACACTAATATGCTAACGTACGAATATACTGGTATGTCAATATACTAGTAAGCTAATACAGCAGTATAGTAGTGTAGTCATGCACCAGTTGTACTAACATGTAAAATATACTAGTATACAAGTATGCAAATATTTTGCTGTCCGAATACATTGATGTATTGATATACTAATCTGCTAATATACGAGACTATCAATATGCTAACATATCAAAACTAACTAGTTCTAATATTGATACTAATACTAGCACTTCTGCGAATATAAGCTGCTGTTAAACCCAGCATTAAGACTGATACTGATACTACTCGTAGCAGTGGTGCTGTATTACTGACATTGACACTGGCACTAGCGCTAACTCTAACACGAACATGAGCACTAACACTAATTTATAGTTGGCAATATTGATACGTATACTTACAGCAAGCAATAGTACTAATATTAATAACAATACTCACCCTAATGCCGATACTACCACAAGACTATTACGTAACTCATGTGCCGCACGTCTGGTGCTATACTATATACCTCATGTAACGGTTTTGCTTCACAGAATTTCGTTGTGCACGGTGTTTTTTAGACCCGTGGTCTGTCACCGGGGGGGGGTGAGCATATATATATATATGTATGTACACGTACATGTAAAAGCTCTGATCACTGTCTGCGGGCGGCGCAAGAAGAGCTGGCGGCGGTCCTCTCCACGGCCACAGCAAACGGCAAAGAGAAGGTGCCAGGAGAGTGGGTACCGTTCGGAAAGGCGGGCATAGACGGTCTTGATTAAGGCTTTCTCCTCGGAAGGCCCTGGCCCGGGTGGCTCAACAGCTTCAGCGCCACCGTCAGCGGTTCCAAGTCCTGGGCGGGGCTGCGAAGGGAAACTGCAGAAAGTAAGAAAGCGGACGAAGCCGAAAGAGCCGAGCAGCGGCTTCGGCCAGGGTACAATTCTCTTCGGTCCGACTCGAGATTTCCTCTCGCAGACTTATGGAGATCTCTGCAGAAAGGATTCGTCCTCGTCACCCTGGCCTCAAGGACCTCTATTGAGGAGAGCACGTGCTCGTTGTAGAGACTCTTCACCACGCCCTGAACAAAAACACATGAAACAACATCTGCAATGTGAAAAAATTCTCAAACACCCGTTTCGAGCCTTGACGAAGATGGTTGCGTGCTTTTCAACGTCAACCGGCCCGTGTGGCTGCAACTTGAACCTACATTGCCACATAATTACGATTCAAAGGTATGGAAGTGAGCGATCGTGTGAACTTGGTCTGACACCGATTGTGGATCCAGGCATATGCTTCGGAGTCGTAGAGAAGTGCATCAAGCTTGGCCTTCATGCGCCCACAGCTTCATGGCACCTCTTTGCATTGATGTCCAGCTCCAAGATTTACTCAACTTTCTGTGCTCACTTGCTGCTAACCGTTTCCTGTCCTTCAGCTACCCGCTCCAGCAATAGGATAACGGATAGCGTTTCCGAAACCACCATGGCTTTCTGCACATCCCTTTCTTCTTCACGGAGTCTCTCTCGCTCTCGCTTTCTCTCACAGACAGGCCTGGACAATGTCGGCGTTCAGGTTCGGGTGTGGAGCCGGGCTGAAACTGTCAGCAATGAAGGCAACCTCCTTCAAGAGCTTCCCCTGACGGCGACGGGCGAAACCCTCATCATGCATCTGGCGTGCTGCTGATGTCTTCACGACTGTCGCAGACTTCGCGAAGCAGTAGGTGTTTGGAGTATGACACTGGGTCCTTTCTGAATGCTCTGGCACGAGACAAGAAGCACGAGGGCTCGGTGGTGGTTGGGGCATGATGCCAGAGCCAAAGCGCACACGCATAGGCTGAATCCCCTCATGGTTGGCTCTTCGAACTACGAACTTGCTGGCTGTTGTCGCTTGCGGGCCGTGCAAAATTCTAACTTGCTTCCCTGCACCTGGCACAGAACCGCGCATGTATACAGGCGAGACGCGTGCCGCTGGCTCACAATCCCTGGATACAATCACGGCAGACACTTCATTGATAGGCCAAGTTCGTCAACAACAGCGTTTACAGGTATTTTTGGCTGGCCTTTAGTTATCTAGGTTCCCAGCTACACCCAGAATGTTTAACTTTTCACTTTGGGCCGGTAACAACTGTCCACATTCACGCACTTCTACCTCAGCGTCAGGCTCACCAAGAGGGCGGTGTATGTTAGCATGTACGAAGCTCAACACCTGCCTCGAAGGGTGCATGCTGTACCGAAAAGACAAGATCTTCCTTACTATCCAGGGCAATTCCCTTGCCCACATCTGGGACGGATTGTCAATTCTTGAGACCGTGGGTTGAAACACTTGGGGCAACAACCCACGTGTTAACAGGCCCGGAATAAGTACGGGACTTGTCTTGGACCGTTCCATGTTCCGCATCACTGGTACGAACAACACGTCCTTTGCAACAGTCTTTCCGAACGGCGTCATTTGTGAGGATTTTGATGCACTGCATTGATCCTCAGTTCAGCCGTCTTGCCGAAGCAGAAGGCGTCCTGAAAGGTGGCTTCCAGCTGACGCCTCTTCCCACAAGAGCTGTTTGGCACCGTCTTAAAAGTGCTGGCAGAATATGCTTTTGCCCAAGTGCCCCATCGTGCGTCAGTTTCAAAATTAAAACTCTCTCTCTCTCTCTCTCTCTCCTCTCTCTCTCCTCTTTATGTTGATGTCAAGAAGAAAGCAGCAAAAAATGGCAGACGGACAGAATGCAAGCCCCGAAGCCTGGACCGTCTGTGCACTCACAGACTTGCTCGGGCACTTCATCGCAAGGATGAAATCCTGCGCCGAAATCGAGTTCTTGCAGGATGCTTATGGAGGAGTCGGGTCCTGCACGACGTCCATCATCGGAGGCACGTACTGCCGCCTGCAGAATTCAAGTTTTTGAATCAACGTTGACCTGTCTGCAAGCCTTGCAGTGGCTGCTTCCTTTTGATGAGAGTGTCAGGAGCATCTTCAGTGGCTTAGCTTGCTCCTCCGATTCCGTGAAGGTCGAACTGGTCCTCCGGGTGCTTTAACTTTAGGCTCTCCTTCACCTTCCAGGCTCAGCGTCTCAGAGGTCCTTCTCCAGCTTGAGCCGCTTGCTTTGATTCAAGCTCTGTGCAAAAGTTGCGGATGCCGGCTTTGGCACTGGTTTTGGCGGCTTTGGGGGCTTCGGCATCGCGACCCCAAGCAGCTCTCGAAGCCGTGCTGCAGCCTCTGGACGCACCACCAGCACAGGCGCTCGATCTGCTTCTCTTCCTCGGGACCACAGCAGAGCTCCTCACGTCACAGATGTGTCTCCAAAGAAACACCAACCTCTTTCTTCTGCGTCTGTCCTTGAGCCTGGGCCAGCTTCTTTGCCTCTTCGAAGGTGTCCTCGCAGTCGTCCACGCTCCACTCGAAGAGCACCGCCGACGAGGACGCTGCCCGGGATCGACTGGACTCCCAGACCTGCGCAGAAACAGAAAGAGTGTTCCTGCACTCACAGAAAGAGGGTCACAGTCACATGTTTGTGAAGACAAGGCTTTCTGGTGCCTCCAGCTGGCCGCAAACGTTCGAGGGCACGGAGCTGCCTTCGCCTTCGCCCTGACGCTGTCGCTGCTGCGGGTGAGCGGCAGCCTCCAGGTAGCGGAGCATGTGTGCTGCGCGGATGCCTTGGCTCATGGCCTTCAGGACTGATTCGGCCGTTAGCTGGCCCACCACAAGGTTTGGCAACCTCACCAGGATTTCGCAGAAGTGTCCAAGGAGGAGGGCGTGGAGAGGACTCGAGATGTAAGCGTATACCTTGAAGTTGCTCTCCACGATAAGGCCCTGTGACTCCTGACCTGCCTCACCACCGGTGCTGCGGGAGAGCCTCTGGCTCACATCCCTTCGAAAGAGTGCCAGAGCAGCTGGCGTGATCCACAAGCTCCCCGTACCGGCCTCGTAGAGAACGCCGAGCTCCACAAGGAATCGAAGGAACTGCCTTGGAGCACTCGAAGTTAGTCGCTCACCCAGGCCGAGCTCACCGATTGCAAGCAGCGCTTGCAAAGCGCGCTGCTTCCCCGCGGCTCCGGCCCCTCCGGCCCCTCCAGCCCCGTCCTTTTGTAGGAAGGAGATCACCAAGCGCCAGAGCTGCTGCTGTCGCTCGTCCAGCACGAACTGGAACCCTGCTGCCGTCAGGCCTCCGCCTCTGGACCCATCCTTCTCCTTGAAGTTCAAGGCCGACGCCAAGTCCGCCAATGGCGACGTCGAGTCCGGATCCAGCAACTCTCCTAGGAAGCTCTCCCAGGAGGCAAGCGCGTGCTGCAGTAACACATCCCCCGAAGGAACTGGACCTTCGCCCCGACCTTCGGGCTCTTGCAGTTGGCCTTGCAAATACGCAGAGAGGCTGCTTTGGAAGGTCTTGTGGAGCATGAAAAGCTGTGCGGGCGGAGGTTGTCCGGGCTTTTGAAGGGCTTTCTGTGGGAGCAGGATCTGAAGGCCCTGGAGGACACTGAGGTAGACGGTGTGCGGCAAGGCCGAAAGGGTGGCGCACCATCGTTTCAGGACGGACTCCTGGAAGGGCCGCGCGCCGCCGAGAAGGAGCCTCATGACCAGCTGCTGGGCTACGGGAGGCAGCGCCTCCCGAAAGATCACGCGAACAGACGGAGCATCCGCATATAAGACCTCCAGCTCCGCCCTGCTGAGCTCCGAGACATACTCGAAGAGAATCTGGCCCACGTGGCTCAGCGACGCATCAGAACCCATGGGCCCATTATGCCATGCCCAATAATCTGGACTGCGCTCTAAAGCCCGTCTTCCCTGACTAGAAATGCCATTCTAGCTACCGGCTTTGCAGGCTTCAAAGCCTTTGACGATCCCCACTGGCACAAATCAACAAAGCAAAGAATCAGTAATTCATACTGAGTGTCAGCAGTTGCCAAGACATGGAGCCACACAGGCCTGAGCACCACAATGGCCCAGCTGTCTTCCTGGTCCTTCGCTGCAGAATAGGCCCCCAGCTCACCACAACTCCTGCAACTAACAATGGGCGGTCACGCACTGCGAGCTGCCAGCAACTCCATGCCGCAATGTCCTGACAACAGAGGTCCAACGCAGAAGAACCACAAGAACCTCGGTCAACTTGGACCCCCACATTGGCGAGGTTCCTTGGCCAGCATCGCAGGCAGTCTCGGAAGAACATTGACAGTCCACAGGCCCAGTCATCTTCTTCGTGTACGGAGTATTCTCCAAAACCACGGAATCCCATGACCTTAAGCAGGGCAAGGTGAAAAGCAATATTGGCTCTAGAATCTTGTCTTGGTTTCCTGCTTCAAGAGAGAGGCTTTACATTCCATTGCCACCCATCGGACGTGCTCGCGGCCGAGGGGTATCAACTCCGACAGCGGGATCCTCAGATCAGGGAAGGCAAGGCGCACAGGGCGCCAACGGGCGGTGCAGCCGGCTGCAAGGCTCACACGGATCAACCACGTTCACGAAGAGCTCCACCTCGCCTTGAGGCTGAGGCCAGGGCGGCTGAGGCCAGAGAGCCGACTCGTCTTGAGTTGGGCCCCGGCCTTGCCGCGACCATCCCCAGGACCTCAGACTCTCTGACTGGACTCCTGAATCCGCTTTGCCGCGGCGCCGGGTCGCAGGCCTCTCTCCCAGATTCAAATCTCCCTCAGTAGCCTTGAAGTGCCCCGTAGAGACTTTGGAGATCTTGCTCGGCTGCTCTTTGAAGCTCTGCCTCGAGAGAAGCCCGCCGGCCCACGCTTCTGCTCGCTTCGTCTCCAAGTCCCACTCCTGATGAAGAAGGTGTAGCCACGAAAGTCCATCATCTTGAAGCCCTTCGGAGCTGCGACGCCTCCAAAAGCGCACAAAGAGCGCTAACACGCCGCCACGCTAACCGCATATAGCGGCTGCGCGAGCGGCTGCGCGAGCGGCTGCGCTCGGCTCTGCGCGGCTCTGGGCTCCGGGCGGCTTGGCGCCGGGCTCGTGGCCAAGCTGTGCTGAAAGAAGGGCAAAGTGCTCAAACTCCCCAAATCTTGAATGCAATCCTCGGGCAGGAGCCAGAGCAGAGCCGCCTTCTTACATCCAAAAGGCACACAGCTCACCTGGGAGCTGGGCCGAGACATAGTTCGTGCAGATCAAGGTCAGCAAGCCATCTCGATTGTCCGTGTCAATGATGAACTGAGCCGGAGAGCCCTGAGCAAACATCGGCTGCTGCCCGACCTCAAGCTGAACCTGTCTGCCTTGGGCCGCTTATCGTTCAAGGCCAAGAGAAATCGAGACCTCGATCACATCACGCTCTCACGCTTTGCCGATGTGCTCCAAGCGTTCTTCACCTGCTGCTCGTGTCCTGCACAATCTTTTCCATCCAAACGTAGTCGATCTGACCGTCGTAGGCTTTCAACTTCTGAGACCTCAGAGATGCGAGTACGATCGGCTGTCGTCTTGAATCTCACATCTTTGGGCAGCTGCATGCTGGATCTCAGCAGGAAGATACACGACCTCGAGAGTGACCGATTTTGATCCGATATGGGTCACACTCTGACACTCCAACACAAGTAATGCTCTTGGAAAGGGACTGCCCAACACAGATGTACACCCTTCTGGAAGAACCGAATTTCGGTCCTGGAAACACGGTCAGCTGCGATAGTGTGTCATGCCGATTCTGATGAAACAAAACTTCCTGCTGCACCGGCAGAAGCTTTCTCATCTTCGAGGGCATCGTCTTCTACTTCTTCCTGAGGCTCATGTTTGTATCTCCTGCGAAATTGTTTTGCTACCCTGATGCTAATTACCGGAAATCCTCAAATTGCAAGCTGACGAGATCGACGTAAAGGACTTTGGCACCGCATCGCTTTGAGCAAGCCTCCCAACAGCAGTGCTCCAAGACAACAAATGGGCATCTTGCTTGACGCGGCCTGCGCAATGTGGGAGTCCGATGACATAATCTTCAGTTCTTATTACCTGCCAACGCTTACAGCCAAGCAACCAACAAGAAGGTTGATCGGTCACAAGACGCATGAAAGCCTGGACATGACGGGGACGGGAAATCACAGCAGTCAGAGGAATGTTGCATTGAGACGCGTAAGTACTGGCTGATAATTTGCCCGCTCTCTGCTGAAGCATGTCTGGTGACAAACTGCGCTACATGCGTGTTTCAGTAAGTTCTTGCAAACAGCCATGCTGCAGCGCTTGACCACCATTTGGAGCCCACACTTTGAGGTCGCTACAATGTCAAAATTTCACGGCACATCCTGTACATCGACCCAAAAACCATCAAAACCACCATGACAAGGAAGCCTCGCATACTCCAGCAATCTCCAGCAGAAAAGACGTAAACAGAGGAGTGGCAACTGCAGCCAAAAAAAGCTCCAAGCAAGTTGGCCCTGTCCGTCTGTCGCAGCGCTTCGTACTTCACTGCAAGCAGCATATATACGTAACATCCGCTAATGAGCATGTGTCACGTCGAGTCCGACGTCCAAGATCGGGCACCGAGTGCACCCCGTCAAGACTGTTCGAATGCCATGGCTACCTTGAGCATTTCAAAACAATCCGCAAAACGTGGGGTTGTCTGGCTTCTGGTTACTTAGTTTTTTGCTACTGGCACAAGCGAGCATGCAGAACCGGCAACCCTGATTTTCTGAAAATCTTTTGAATGCTCAAAGACACCTTAGGTATGTAGCGAAGTCAAACGTGTGACTCATGAGTGCATGAAATACGATAAAGCAAATCAAGATAAATACATGGGGTATCCTAGGATGCAAAATGTTTGACACACCGCCTACGAAGCTTCTTTGAGCTTGCGGAAGGTAATCTTCTTCATACTACGATTTGCTTCACCCCATCTTTCAAACAACATTCATGTCATTCACACGCCGCATGAGAGTCTTATGTCTTGCGGGCGAGTTCCTTTTGGAACTTATCGCCAGGAGCAGTGGGGGGACCCGTTTTTCTAACCCCTGAACCCGTTTGTTTCACCTCGGGCCTGTTTTTTAGCCCCCGAACTTATCTTTCTGGCCCCTGAACCCGCTTTTTCGACCCCTGGAACTCGTCTTTTTGACCCCTGAACCTGTTCAGGGGCTGCGTTGAGGGGGTTTGGGGGGGTACGCTTGGGGGAGTTTTGAGTTTTCGGTGTTCTTGCCGCTCTTTTTGCGTTTTGCTGGTTAGCGAGCGGACCGTCAGCTACCCAATCGCGGCTGAAGATGGCGGTGGAAATGCATTGCCCGAAGCTCCAATAAGCTTTAAATAAGGTGACGCCTCTTTAAGAATTAGAGGATAAGCCTTAAAGCTTTATTTACAGCTGATATAATCAGCTTTAATTAAGGCTGACAGTTCTCCGGAAGACGGCTTATATTGTATATATGTCCGTTTCATCGTTTTGATCTGTCATAATTGTATATATATATATATATGTATATACATATATATATATATAGAGACCGGGTCGCTGTGAGAGTGCGTTTTTTTATAGTTTTTGAACGGCTTCTGTAATCTCAAACGTTACTATAATCCATCCCATCTGGTCTGTATAGCACAAATGGATATATTTTCATGTGGGTGAATATATGTAAATGTAATTATGCATATAAACATGCTAGCATGCATGCATTTATACATGTGAACATACGCAGATTGCCAGTTGCATGCATATATAAACGTAGCATGTGTTATGTGTAACAGCACTCGCAAATACACGTTACTACAATTCTCGAGTTGTTCAATTACTTCAAACTACATAAAGCATCATTGGCTATGAGCGATACGACATGAAAGATCACAGGGTGCCAAGCCTAGAAATGCCAAGCTCAATCCTCATTATATCAAAGAGCGTAACTCTGCAAACAGACGCATGTAACATCCTGTCTACGCTGCACCGTCCTATGAGTCAACAGTATGTATCAATAATGAAGGCCATATCTTTGAATATTCACGTTCCATGTAGCTACACGCCAGATTTCTGCCTTTCTGCTGTTTTCCACGACAAAACGGGTGTAGTAGTCCAGCAGCAATCAGGGCCACTACACGCCTCCCACTGTGGTGAAATGCAAATTTCCGCGCAGTAAGCTTCGGGACCTTCCTGATGCGACCCGGATCAGAGAATCAGCTTCGAGAGTGGAGGGACAACGATCTTTCACGACCGGGGCTTTCATCCATCAGGAGACAGTGGGGCTGCGCAAGAAACCGGTGGGCCAGCGAGCTTCTTGCCAGGATCCTGGCGGCTGCCTTCCCAGGGGCAACCTTCACCTTGCTGGCGCTCTTCAGGGAGTTGAAACAACCGCCACACAAAGACTCCACAAACGGGCAGGCGGAAAATCTGCTCCTGGCCTGCACCTCCTTCAAGGATGGAGGGCTCTGGATTCAACGTGCTGGGGGAATGGAGAAGAGGCTGATCCTGGGGCGAGAGATGGAAGGCGACGTCTTGGAAGAAGGGGCGGATCTCCTTCCACACCCACCGTGGGCATGCGACGGAGGACTGGACGGGCACGCGACTGGTCCTGGCTGGCTACACGGTGGCGAGAGCAGACGAGATGGTTGCGGGGGACAAGAGGATCCCCCAAAAGCGCGGATTTATCTTGGGCAGCTGGAAAGACCTCTCTGGAGCCGGAAGTAGACGGATGGAAGGAGCTGCGTGGGAGACTTGAAATGATCCTGCTCGACCACGTGGGCGGCCCGGAGAAGCTGGACAATCCCTTTTGAATTGGCCGCAAAAGGCGACATGGGCCGGGTGGGCTGCAAGTTGGTCGCCGATCCCGTCCGCTCCCTGCAAGTTCAAGGTTGCGCGATGGCATGAATGAGAACCCGCAATCGTGGGTTGTGCAATGGCCTACGCATACATTGCTAGCAATAATTGCAAGCGAGCCTGCGAATCACCGGCTCTGCTCCCCAAAAAGTCTGGATCGCGTGATGGCCAACATGAAAACCGGCCCTGCTGCGCGTAATTGGCTCGCACAGTGGTCTGCGGATCACCGGCTCTGCTCCCCGTAAAACCTGGGTCGCGCATTGGCCAACATGGAAATTGGCCCAACAACTGCCAATACTCCGTCGCGCAATGGTGTTCACAGAGGCACCAACAGCCCATAATGTAATCGCCCTGCTCCCCATAAGTTTGGGTCACACAACTGGCCAAGAAGCAAACTAGCTTTTTGCCGCCCGTAGACATGCATACGTCGCATATCCGAGAGCGATTCAGCCAGATGTGCGAAGAGACAATGTTCTCCTTCCCACATTCGAGGACGCACAGAGCAGCCGCCAAGTTTCGAACTGGGACCGAGCGCAGCAGCCGCTGTCACCGAGGTCCGCCTGCGCCGAAAAAATTCTCTTTCACACACTCTTAAGATAGAAGGGTGCCATTTCGCGCCGCGGTCATGTCGCTGATCGGTTCGAGCGCTAAGTTCGAAAGCAGATGCAAGGGATGTACGCTTCTTGTCATTTTACGCGGAAAAGAAATTGAGAGTTTCTCGAGTTTTGGTTTTGCTTGGGGCACTTAAACATCTCCAACCGACAGAGTTTTGCTGAGAACGTATGCGGGCCTGCCGTTGCATCAGAAACCGCTACCTGGCTTAGAAGGCTTCATTTTGAAGCAATCACGCTGTAGCAGTCATTTTTTTTGGCGTGGGCGGGCCTCAAAGACAGCAGTTGCTGCACTCGGTCCCAACAAGAACTACAATAAAGTCAATAAACCAAACAACTGTACAAATGACGAAGACTAGCGAGAAAGGTGAGACAGGCTGCGACTAGCAGACTTAGCCGGCAGACGTCGTTCAGCCAAAAAATCCGGCACCCAGCAGACGCGACCGCTCAGATGCCCCATGTCGACAAGTTTCCATGGATATTGAGTCGCACGGAAACGGACGCCCTGCCATGGCCCAAGGCCCTTAAGGCAGAGAGCCGAATACCCCAGCCGCTTCCAAAGAGAGTAGGTGTTGCGATGGCAAGCGAAAGCCATGATGGCAGACACATGGCCGATCCCGCAAGGAAGGTCAACGGCGCATGCTATCGCAGGTGCGCACCCACAAAAACTCCCGAGCCCAGCTTCCCCAGAGTGGGCAACGAGAGGCCAGCCAGTTTCCGTGAGCAGTGCAACGCCAAGTTCAATTGCCCAGCTTACCAACAGAGGGTCTCGCAAGGGCAAAAGAGGAAGGACAAAAACGGCAGAACACAATGACCAGTCCATAAAGTGGCAGGAATGCGATCCAAAGGCGAATCCCAGTGCGCAACCACAATGAGGTCCCGTGCCCAGCTTCCCTCACTGTGGGTCTCGCAAGGGCGAACAAGTCTTCCCAAATGTCGCAATGTCAGTAATGGACAGCCACAGCAACAGGGAGAGTGCCAATCTATCCCAAGGAAGGTCAATGGGGCAAGCCACTGGCAGGTTCGCACCCAAAAGAGTCCCTAGGCCCCAGGCCCAGCTTCCCACATCGTGGGCCTCGCAAGGGCAGCGCACGCTTCCATGAGCAGCTCTAGACCCGGTGCGCTCAACATCCGCTCCAGTGCCCAGCTTCCCACCAGTGTGGGCCTCGCAAGGGCAGACCCGCTTAGTCCGGGCGGCTATAGGCCACGCCTCACCGTGCAATGGCTGCAAAAGGCGAGCGTAAGCGTGTAATGGCAGTGCATACAATCTCTCGATAGGAAAATACAGGCGTCGCGCCAAGCCAGGCCATCCAACAGCGAATGGTCGAGCTGACGCAACGGCCTGGTAGCAGAGTCGAACGATCAGCTGAAGGTTGTTCGCAACCCAGACTCCTTTGTAGGGCCAATCCAGCCGCCCGACGCTCATGCGGGTCAAGCGTAGCCAGCAGTTGCCTCGTAGCCTCCTGGCTGAATTTGGATCCGGTGACCGCTGTCCCCACACATGTTTGCTGCTGCAAAGCCGAATGGGGCTGAAATGTGTGGGCGTCAAGCCAGGTCAGAAGACCACAGCACATCCAGAGCGGCTTCTGCTCCG